TCGCAAGGTGTTGTTTGTTTGTTTTTTTCTTTGTTAGGGAGGAAGGTTTAAAACTGAATACTGTGCAAATTATATATTGCGATAAAGTCCCCCAACCCATGTCTGTAGTCTAACCTAGATAGTTATTTAGCTTATTTGTATTCCAGCTGTCAACTTCAAAAACTATGTCATTCAGAAGAACAGCATAAATTTATAATCAATGCTGATCTGAAAATGTTTGAAGTTATTTTTGTCTTCATTTGCCACTGATGCTGGCAGCTTTAGGACATGTAGTTACTTCTCTGTGCTGACAGAAACCTGTTCCACTGTATTCAAGTGTATGCTTTCAGTCTTATCAATACCTCTCAAAAAAAAATAACACTTTTAACCCTCTTTAGTCCACTTTTATTAGTCTTTATAATTTTTCATATGTATACAGAGTATGGTAACCAAGACAGCCCCTACTCAACACTGTATGTACTGTGGGTGAGAGAAGTTTTGAAGATGTGAATGATGCTAAGGTGAATAAAACAGTGATTCTAAAGGGCCTGTTTCTTCCTGTGTAAAATGGAAACAGTAACTGGAATCCCTTGATAGAGAGAGGAAACTAGAATTTCCCATATTTCATGGGCAAGAAGTGAGTACACTTGGTAGACACAGCTGTGAATGCTGTGACTATACAATGCTGTGAAACTTTTCAGGAAATGTGAAAAATTAATGCTTGCAGAGTTTATAAGCAGATGATATCGACAATGCGGTAGTCCAATCTGGACATATCTGGGTTTGGAAATCTTGGACAAAATCTGAAAAACATTGACCTTTGAATATAAAAATATTTCCAGGAGACGTTGCAGATGTGTATACTACTTTTGTAAGTAGAAGTGTTAATGAGTTCATCAGGACAATACACAAGTATTCTTATCTGAAAAATGGCTAGAATGAAACCTGCCTGCTATTAACTAGGAGTCCAGGAACTGAAGGTATAATTTTTCTTATCTTTCAGGTAGAATACAGTAAACTTAGAGACAACTTCAAGGAAGCTAAGATTTAATTCTTCCAGGCTAGTCTTGTTCTACAAGTGTGTGAAAATTATTTTTTACAACTCTCACGCCAACACTTCTCATAAAAATAACACTGGATAATCTCAAAGGCATTAGTAAGAATGGAGAGAGCTGTGTGCTTGTAGGTCCCTTCTGAAAAGGAAAATCACCTCAAATTTATTATAATTGCTTATTTCCTGTTGTAATACATTTTTGTTGTTTTTGCATGGTAATCAGCCAGATAATATTATTCTCAATCTTCTCTATTGCATCATCTCTGTTAACACTCAAGTAGATTGCCAGAAGTCAGGTCTAGCATGATACTGCAATTTTGGAAACAGAAGCAAGTACCTTGCCATTGCTGCATATCTAGCTGATAGTAGTGGATGGGAGTAGGTGGGTGATTGTGCAGTAGCTGTTAGTATTTTCTTTCTGAGAAATGGCATGAAAAGAGATTAAGCTCCACTTGTCTGTGTTGTCTCTCATTTCCAGTTGAACTTTTTTCTATTGTAGAAAATATTTAATTCCTTCTTTGACAGAACATTATGATTCACAGCAGAAAGCATGGGATCTTTTACTTAAAAATACATATCCAAAAATACATAAGCAGAGGTCCAGCATGATAGATAAAGATAACAGGATTAATAAATCCTGTACTTGTTTCAGTACCCATATTGTATATTTTTGATTCTTGGTCTGTGCTTGGTAATGCAGTGTGATGTTCCAGGTTCTTGAAGTAGAAGCAAAGGATATAACCAATATAGAGGGGATGGCAAAGTGGCAGATTTCAAATAAACTGCTGGAGGTACAGTTCTCTGGCACTAATCAAATTCTCTTGACTAAAAATACTGCTCTGCTTTTATTTCAGCATCTTACTTGGAAAAAAAACATTGATTTGTCCTGGAAAAGGAAGTGGCATCATAGTAATGAAGAAAGAGGATTGATGAGAATATATTTGCTCTCAGACATGATTCCCAAATTTGGGCTACTGTCTCAGTCACATAAGCCCCTCAAGTGAGACCATGACCCAGAAAAACATCATTCCCCAGCCACATATTTCCACTGCTTCTCTTGAGCTAGCAATGACATCAGTATACATTATTTGCTAAGCTGGGTTGGAAACTAGTTGAAAACTTTTTGGGCTCAGTTAGCTTTCACCAACCCAGGTTCCTAATGTAGTTTCCTATGTGGCCACATAAATAATCATGTTGTCAGAGGTGATCATGCACGTGGAACATCAGGACAGCCAGTTTTATAACACTGCACATGTGATTTAGGTATATGATAGCATATTTTGGCTTTCTGGGGTGATCTATGTAAAAGTTAAACTGTATCATCTAAGGAAATGAAAGTTCACAACTTGTGCATTTATGTGCAGAAGGGAATAATATAATTTATTTATTTCCTCTGGTCATTTACTGTGGTTGCTTACAGGGAAAGGAAAGAGGAACAGTTTTGTGTTTGTCATGTTGAAATAATTTGTGTACTTTTAGCAGGATCTAGGAATTCTGTATATTGGAAACTTCTGTTGTAGGGTGAGATTTTCAATGGTGCAAGTTAAAGTTAAGCCATTGATTCTTGTTTACTTTCACTGGCAGTGAGGCATTTACTGCCAAAGTACAGGGTGGCAAATCTGCCTTCTGAAATGACCCTCTTGGATACATTAAAGTAGTGTTGTCATTGGGCCTAAGTGATTTGATGCAGGGTCAGTGGAAATACACTTTACAACATGTATGGAGAAAAAAAAAAAAAAAAAAGAGTATTCCTAATAAATACAGATGTGCTGAAGCTGAGCAGTGACTGTTAGAGTGATGGAGTGAATAGCTGCTCGGGTCTTGGAGTTGTTGGGAATCTCCCTATTGACAGACCTTACAATTCAGTTGTCAGTGATTTATTATTCTGCAGGCTCCTAGCATATTACTGCTTCATTAGTACCTGCAATTGACTGTTGTCAACAGGATTGTGTATGATTGATGGTATAGGTAAAACTTAGAGTCTGTGAGCCCTAACAATCTAGATGAATGATAGAAAATATATTTTGCATTACTTTAATATATAGTTTTTCTCCTTTTGTTGGCTACACTGTGGCCAGCAGCATGGTTTGTCATGAACCTTGACGCTTTGTCAACTTGTATTTGATGAGAAGTATTAGCCACCACCAAGACATATTTTAGCTATGTAGGCAGTCCTATACCAGCTGTGAATTCTTAACATATCTCAGCCTGAACAACTGGGAAAATTATGAAACCAGTTTACAGACTCAGAAAAAATTACTGTATTATCCTTATGGATAAACCACAGTTTTAAACAGTGAGATGTATCTTTAGCAACTTTATTATGGACCAAGACAATGAAGAGACTTTGAATAACTTGAATACATGAAGTTCAAAAAGTGGATTTCATCAACTTCAAACAAGGGACAATTGCAAGCATTTGACCTGAATTACCTAAACACTCCAAAGAAAGAGTTTTGCTTTGTAATCTTGTACCAAATTTTGCAGTTCCCATAATTTACCCCAGATGATAAATTATTTTAACTCAGAGACTGCAGAAACAAAAAATGTCTGCTTTTAAAAATGTCATCTTTTAAAATTGCTTTTACCATTTATTGAAAACTGTTTTCTGCTATTTTAGAAGTTTTATAATAAAATTTGAAGAAGACGTGCATATGCTTATAGACAGATATTTGTCTTTTATTGTACAAGATACCTTTCTGGTTTTAGAAATTAAATTGAGGAGGTCTGTCTTCTCAGTTTGGAGCCAAAAAATATCTAGGAGAGCTGCAATTTATATTAATATATTGTAATATAATTTCATGTTGTTTATTGAAACGTAGTAAACTGTCAACATTTGTGACACTTTAAAGTCCCTGAAATGTAAAAATCTGGTGTCTCTGTCCTTTCCAATTGAGTAGCTTTAAAATACATGGGCAGACTCATCATTTAATTATTCATTTTTTAAAAAAGTGTCACAATCATGAGTGCAACAAAATTATGCTATGACAAACTTAGTATTGCAGGGAACTGGGCCTAAGAAAATAACTGTTCTAATGCACATGTTATTTCCTGTAGCAGTCCCTAAGGGGTATTTTATGAGTGACAAAGGTCTATCAGCTGAGGACACTTTGGTCAAGTGTTGGCTGAAGAGTTCCACCAGAAAAAGGCAGCATTAACTTGGAAAGAAAAACAGTAAGCTAGATCCTAATTTGAGATAAAAATGTCTTCATAAATTATATTCTCTTTAATTTGAAGTGTAATTCAAACTTCATATATCCTTCCCAATGGTAGTCAGCAGTTTTCTACAGGAATTGCTGTGCTGAGTTTCCCATTTAGCCACACATTTCTAGATGCAATGGGAGATCACAAAGCCTTCTGACTGGCCAGCTGCTAACATTCCAGGACTGCAGGACAGTAAAAATATACAATAATTTCCTCATTAAGAGTTTAAAAAGTATTCCCTGATTTTGTTTAAAAAGTAACTTTAAATTAGTAATTTTGCCTTTTGATTATTTAGAATAATTGCAAATTTGTATTAAAGTATTTTTATTATTTGTACTTCCTGGGTTCATTTTTGTTTGTTAGGACACTCTATTCTTTATTTTACCACATGGTCCTGCTTTTTTATTTGCTTTAGTTCTTGTTACTTTCAACTGTGTGAAATGGATCCACAGACATCCAGCAGGAAGTGTTCGTAGGTCAGTGACTAATTTTTCCAGGCCCATTTTGCAGACTGGTGATTTATACCAACTCTATTTATAGAGAAAATATGACTTTTGAAACATACAAGCTTACTCTTCTCACATTGGCATTTCTTCTGTCAGCTGATCTATCTGCTTGTTGAGTGATGATGGCAGCAAAGTTGGGGAATTACACGAGAGGCAAAATGTATTTCAATGTACAAGAATTTGTTTCACATTTAATGAGAAGTACGAGCACTGTCTGAGTGAAGCAATGTTATTGTGCCTATCAGGAGTACCACAGTAGGATAGAATATGTATGATTACAGAGTAATACAGCCATTTTATTTATTTGGTCCTCTTTCCTATGAAACATTAACAACTTGCTGTTTTAAAGATTTTAGTCTTAAAAATACTCTGTGATACACTGAGTTTATATAGTTCCCATTACACTGAAAGCGATCTGAGAAATAAGGATGAAGGGATTTTCAAAAGTCTTGCACACAGTCTGCAATGGAGCAAAAAACTGAATTTGGTTTCTTGTCTACATGCAAATCAGTGTATGGTTATTTGTGAAAATAAAGCAAGCAGTACAGCTTTCTCTGTGATGTAGTTTAAAATGTAGTAACAAGCAGAAAGAGTTCAGGCTTTCTCTTCAGATCACCTATGATGTGTCTGAAAGCAACTGAAGTAAAAATAAAGCAAGCTTCACCTGGTTAAAGGAGGAAGCTTTTCCATCCTTTTTTTGCCAAAGTAGTAGAAACTGATTCTAATGATCATGCCACCTTTTGCTGTATTTGAGGTAAAAATTTTAAATGTTCATACAGGAGCCTCAATTTTAATTCTGTAGGATTAGTTTTGTCTTGGATATTTTTTCATAGAGAGAGAAAGGACTCTGTAAAATACAAAGAAGTGAATGTTTTAATCACGTGTAGGCTGGCCTTTCTGCTCAAAGGACAGAGATAGCAATGTCCATTCATGGTGGACAGAGTTCACTGTTCAAATAGAAAATGAAGAAAAACTGTTGGTCCATTGAGGTGCATAGCTTTCAATCTTACACTATTTTTCAAAGTACTGCCTAACACCATGCAGGACCTGAGGAACTTGAACAAAATCTTTAAGAAGTACACACTCAAAATGATATATCTGCTGTTTGTTAAGTGCATTAATTAATTTTAGGTTCATTACCTCTCAGATCGGTATTTCCATTTTCTGCGTTTTCCAGGCATATACACAGAAACTTAGAGGATTTGTCTTGAGAAGGGTGATTTTTGACCTCTCTGCAATTCTAAATGAGTTGCTATAGGTATTTATAATATAATAATTTATACCTTGGTAAAAATCAACATGGTTCATGCCTGGACAGTTCTCTATTGAAAAGACATTTGCACACTTCAGGAGCTTTAATTTTCATACTGAAAATTTCCACATTTTTTTCATTTCACCTCCTAATCTGAAAGTTAACTGAGAAAAGTTTATTTTATTTTCATTCAATATAGATGTTAATACTTAGCAGAACTTTACTCAGTTTGAGAATGTGTTTCACAGAACAGTTCTTTAGATTAGTCTGTACAGATCACCCTATGTAGCTTGATTCCCTGGCTCTGTTAACTTTTCTTCACATCTATTCTTCAAACAAAGCTTTGTTGTTCTAGTTAAAAAGGCTGGTCTTCTAGGGTGCTGTAGGCTAAAGTAATAAACTTTCCTGATGCTCTTAATATAGAAGGCTCAGCCTGAGCACATGTATGTACAGACACATGCTTTTCTGGTAAGCTTTATTTCCAAATGCTTGAGCCCCTTGCATATTAGCCTATATTAGTTCACAATACAGGATTTGTAAGCTCATACTTTTACTAGGTATTTAGCGTTGGGTACAAATGTTTTTTTTATTTATTTATTTCCTTAGATGAATTTGGGATAAATAATTTCTATCTGAACATGCTATCCCAGATTGCTGGACCTGGTTCAGATCTTATTCTTAGTGTAAACTAGGACTAGCTTAATTGAAACTAAAGAAGATGGATTTTACTAGACTTGTATGAAATCAGAACAGATCAACAGATATGTCTTTACAGAACGGGTTCTTTCACAAGAAAAAAGGACTAATACAGAGTAGGCTCTTATTCATACTCCATATAAACTCTCTAGCAGTCAAAGTGCTTTGTGGCACCACTCCCTGTTTTTATACATTATTTTGTTTTGTTTAGGTAGGCTTTTCTCTACTAGAGGTTTTATTGTTCAAGAAGGGGTACTCCCACCCTTGGTCATAGTCATCAAGCCATACTATTGGGCAATTAATGCTCTTTACATGCCAAGATGTCAGACTAAGAAAAGGCAGCCAATCCTGATATAGGAAGACACACACTGGCACCAAAAAAATATCTAACTAGGGAGACAATGAAGAGAGAGAGAAACACAGAGACACACTATGGAATTGTGCTCTATCTGCCTATGATAGTAGCATCAGAGGCAATGTTGTTTTTCCCCAGTGGTTTTCCAATATAGTTACTCCATTCACTGATGAATGAAGAGTATGTGAAACTGTGCCAAAGCTAATCCAATTGAATTCCACCCAGCCGGTTAAATCCAATTGCCCATGCCTTCCTCCACAGTGCAAAAGCATCCATGGTACAATTTGCTAAACTGACTCCTCTCCTCCCACTTCCCATGGCAGATCTATGCTGTATGGGTCATCTTCCCTTTTATGCATTATGCGTGGGTTTCTGGCTCCTTCCAAGTGCACATCTTACCTTGTTCCATCCCTGAAAATTAGAAATAGTTATATATAAATATTCCAGTATAGTTGTTCTTGAAGTGCTTCACCTAAACCAATGAACAATCTCTCCCTAGCTGAGGGGGAAAGTGCCTCTTCCTGCCGTGATTTCAAGCTGGTGAATAATATGGCAATAATAATGAAAAATAATATAAACTTATCTGGGATAAGAGAAAACTCTCTTAATCCCAGAAGAATCAACACCCTAAGCAAAGGGGAAATCTGCCAGAGGAGTATGACATCCAGATCCATGGGGGTGGGAATCTAAGGCATGATCCACAAAGGCATTCTCTTGAGGAACACAGTGACAAGCTTTGTTGTGTGGGTTGGATCAGAATTGAGCACGATGCATTCTGAGCTTGCCTTGAGGAAGAAAGTCTTTTACTGCTACTGAATTTAGGCTTGTAACTATAAATGTAAGTAATAACACATAGAATTATCAGAGGGATAATAATTAACCTTCCTCAGGTGTGTTAATGTGATTTTAGTTGATTTAGAATATTATAGTCAAAAGAGATTAAGCTATTACAGAGTTTTGGGTATGACCCAGTTGACCAGATGGAAAATGGTGACAAGTGGTGTCCTTCAGGAGTCCATACTGGGACCAGTGCTGTTTAATATTTTCATTAATGATATTAACAGTGGCATTGAGAGCACCCTCAGCAGGTTTGCTGATGACACCAAGCTGGGTGGTGTGGTCGATATGCCAGAAGGATAGGATGCCATTCAGAGGGACAAGCTGGAGAAGTGGGCCCAGGTGAACTTCATGAGGTTCAAGAAGGCCAAGTGCAGGGTCCTGCAGCTGTGTCAGGGCAACCAGAGATACCGATACAGGCTGGGAGAAGATATGCTAGAGAGCAGTCCTATGGAAAAAGACCTGGGGGTTCTAGTGGATCAAAAGTTGGACATGAGCCATCAACATGCAATTGCAGCCCAGAAGGCCAACTGTATCCTGGGCTGCATCAAAAGAAGTGTGGCCAGCAGATCAAGAGAGGTGATTCTGATCCCCTCTACTTTGCCCTGGTGAGACCTAACCTGCAGTACTGTGTCCAGCTCTAGAGCCCCCAACACAGGAAGGACAGGGACCTGTTGATATGTGTCCAGAGGAGGGCAACAAAAATGATGAGAGGGCTGGAGCACCTCTTATGAAGACAGGCTGAGAGAGTTGAGGTTGTTCAGCCTGAAGAACAGAAGACTTCAGGGGAACCTTATAGCAATCTTTTAATACCTGAAAGGGGCCTGTAAGAAGGCTAGGGAAGACCTGTTCACAAGGGCATGTAACAATGGGACAAGGGGTAATGTTTTTAAGCTAGAAAAGGGTAGTTTAGGCTGGACATCAGTAAAAAAATATTTATTTTGAGGGTGATGGATCACTGGAACAGATCACATTTTACATAGGAATGTTAATTTTAAGATTTTGTTTAAACTCCATGCAACAATTAGCTATGTGATAAATTGGACAATATAGCATTTTAGAGCAGATGTGTGCCCAAATAGGAAGGTATTGTGTGACACAGCTTTCTCAGACTATTGGAAAGACAGCAGAATCAAAAGATTTGGTTGTCACCAATCATTTACTGTAAGGGTTTATTTTAAAATTGTGGTTCCTATGTTTGGCTTGCAAGCAGAAAGTAGTAATGGATTAAATAAAATTAATAATTTTATCTACTCAAAATAGATAAAAATCTTATCTAAGCAAAACTGTGACCTGACCTACATCTGCTGGTCTGAAACAGATTTTTCAACAATGTTCCAGGAAGACTGCAAGCACAAAATATAATGGATCACATAATTAATATTTAACCTATTAAAATTCATTTTCTTCTGTGTAGTGGAGATGCTACAGATTTAAAAATACCTTTGTGCAGGAATAAGCCCTTTGTAAACAGATACCTGAGTGCTGACCATCTTGAAATCCTTGGCCTTAGTTAAGGAGCTTTACGGTGTTCCTCAGCTGATGCATGAAGATGCTCAGGAGGGCAGACTCACTAAAATACATCATCTTAAACCTCAAGAATGGAATGTTCTCTAATCAAGGAAAGACACGAAAGATCTTCTTGTGACATAGATGGCATCTAAGCATTTCAGTAAGGTACAGTGGACTGACTTTTCTTGCTTCACTTTACCAATATTTATCAAATAATACAATTATGTTTGCATCATATACTTGATCTATCTGAAATAATCATAATTGAAAACCAAATATGCTTTCCTGACATATATTTCACCTGTGCTCTTTTCTTAGCTCTTAGGTACCAGCAGGAGACAATTACCTTAGAGCAGCATTCCCTCTCTTGGACTTTAAATATGTATTGTCATTATAATGCACTTCAGCAAGCTTTTAGGGTGAAGAGAGGAGGAACAGAAGTATATGAAAAATTCAGAACAAAAGAATGCAAGGTAGGAATAGCTACCTATGTAGCCACATAGTGATTACATGGTCACAACTGATGATTGCAAGTTTTAAATACTTAATAATTAAAAGCTTTTTAAATGTTTACTTCTAGAGTATTAGTTTAAAATAGAAACCAAAGTATAAATAATTCCTTTTTGATGAAGAAAACATGCCCTTTTAAGTTCTGCTTATCTACTTAGAGAAACAGACTTTGCAACTGATCCATTTCCATCATTATGTTATTGCCTGTTTTGCTTCAGAGCTTATGAAAATCATGGAAAAAGTATAAATTCCAAGATTTGACAAATGATTTGCCACAACAGATGTAGAGCTGTTAATAAGATTCTAAATAATTAGGGGTTATGAAATATTTGCTGTATGCATGTCTAGAAAATATAGCAGGATTGGTACAGCAAGAGAAGGCAACACAATGGATTCCCATTGACATTCCCCAAGCATGTATTTAGAAGACAATGGCACTATTGCCCTAGCAGTAGTCATGCTGGGAGATGACTGGTCGAAAAGTCTAACCCATAAATGAGTTAGAAAGTGTCTCCAGTTCCTTCAGGAAGGTAGGATTAAACAGGGCAGGCCAGGGAGCCACAGCAGGCAGGCAACCAGAAAATTCTACAGCGATGTCTCCAGCTCTGTTGCAGTTCTGTGAGATGTGGTAAGTGAGGCATTTCAGTAACTGTGTGTTATTCTATTGTATGTATACTAAGACGATTTGTGTTTGAAATTTTCTTACTGCTGCTTATGCCCATTAGAGATTTAATCAGTGCTGCAGACGAGCACTGTTTATGCCCTGGCCTAGTGTGAGCAGAAGAGCAGGCTGCAAGCAGGCTCAGCCGACAGCTGAAGAGGAGGATGTGGTTCAAAGGAGGAGAATGAAGTACCCTCAGCAAGCAAGGACCTACATGGTGGTGGACATGACCATGAATTACCATGAGGTCCTACAAGATCATATTACTAAAGGAGAGCACCAGCATATACTTTATTGCTTTTTGTTTGGATGCAAACTACCAGAGACAGTAATACACAAAAGATGTTAAACCTATTATTATTCATCTTAAACTATGAAAACACAAAGGGACAAGGCAACTCACCAACCCATGCTTCTGGGAGTGTCACAAAGTTAGCTGAAGAAAAGATCCTCAAAATAAGTTGGTGTTTTGATTTTGTTTTATTATTTTTAATTCTTTCTGTTTCTCTGTACCCCATCAGGGTACACCTGCATCAAATAAATGTTCAAAGATAGTGATTTTTGTGTGTGATGTGTGATCTGAAAAAAAAAATTAGGATGAACACTTGGAAGTCCTTCATTTAATCATCTGACTGCAGAACAGGAATCATGAGATGCCTGGTGGAGTAACAACTGATGCTTCCCTGGATGTGGGGCTGTAAGTCAAAGCATTTTTTATAAACACACAAAAGTGTTTTTCTGTTATCAAATTATCAGTGTAACCATTCATCTGCCATGACTCAGACTGCCAGTAGTCATGAGATTTGTTTAGATTGCAGAGATTGTAAAAATAAATAACAAAAAACCCCCAAGTAATAAAAAGCATGCACAACCCCCATCCTTTGCATTCTGCTGATACCAAAAAAAGTGGATTTTGACTGGGAAAGCTGTGAACCCAGGGAGAGCAGCATGTGAGGGCACATCACGCGCCCTCCTCTCTCTTTGGCCACTAAAGAAGTTTTCAACAAGCTCTTACGGAATTCGCACATTCTTCACCAAGCTAAGAAACACAGGTG